CACCTCCTCCTCACCACCTTCAACTCAAGCCATCAACTCTCCTTACTACAGGTAAAGTGAAGTTCAGTGTTCATTTATTTCATTTATTCCATATATTCATTTATTCCATTTAGTTATTGTGTTTCTTGTTTTTTTATATGATTTTATGCGTGTAATTACTGTAAACTTCGTGTAAAAATGCTTTATGAGAGATTTCGTGTGTCTGGAACCAATTAATGTCATTTACATTCATTCTTATGGGGAAAATTAATTCGGTGTTCGAACAAATCGGTGTTCGAATGGCCTTCTGGAACGAATTAAGTTCCATCTCCGGGGTGCCACTGTATTTCACTTTACCTACTCGTCCACGCTGCTCGGATATCTTGGCAGAGGTGAGTGTACCCGCACTTTAGCTCACCGCATGCACAATGTCCTGATTGGCTAACTGTGGTGTATCCAATTAGACTGATCAAAGCATCATAGCATCTCTTTGGGATCACGGTATCCTATTCATCATGTGAGGTTGTGACGAAATAAGGTTGAGAACCACCGATGGAACCCACCAACAAATTGGGATTCACGTAGTTTCATCGCAGCCTCATCACGGAGCTACCCTCATCAAACATTTCAGCGTGTGCATTGCTTTTTGTTCCCTCCAGGGAGCCGTGCATCAACCTGCTCGTGCCACGCCAGCGGCAAAACCGCAGACTCCGGCCGCCACCGAAGGCCGCGTGACGCGAGCGAGCCTACGATACCCTGCACTCGTCGCTGCTGAGTGGGTAAACGTCCCGTGCCGTTTACCCACTCAGCAATTCCATCGTGCACAATAAACAACACACAAAAGGGGGTTGCGAGGCTGCCACGTAATTATACGGAGCACGATGCAAAAGCTTTCATTGGGGCCCGAATTTGCACGGCAGACGCACGAGCAGCCGGGGGGCACGCGTGTCGTGACCTGCGTGGTTAAGCCGATGAGGGAGGACAAGGGGGAGCTGAACCTGTGCCTCTGGACCTCTCTCTCAGCGCGGCTAACAAGCGACGGGTCCGGTTGATCGAAGTGCTCGGCGCGGGTCGAGGAATCAACTGAAGATCACGGGAACGGAAGGCAGAGCCGCACCCCCTGCCAGGGTACACGGCGAATCCGGGCGACCGCCCCGGGCCCTGCGCTTTGGGGGGTCGCTCTCGCGGTTTCGACGTCACGGAGTCAGATGGAATACTTCCTCTTTAGTTTGAAGGCGTTGGGGGCGGGGGGGGCCCGCACAGTGGGGTCTACCCCAGGCCCCCTGCACCACCCCCCCTCCTCCCATGGATGGCCCTGAGAGTAACCATGGTAACAGCGAACAGTGGTAAGAATGTAACTGACCGCCGAAGATCATCTGACATTTCCAATTTGACTACAGTTGTCATGTAAAGCGGTTGATAAAGCTTTCTCCAAGTGTTCCAAATTATAACCCACCTCAAACTGATAGGAATTTAACGTTTTTTTGTTCCAACATTAACCGGTGGATTCAAGGCCGCGATGGGCAATGACGTCGCCATCACAGCCGGTCCAGCACCAAGTAGGTGGACCCAAGGTTGAAGAGTTCTGACCTCATCCGTCAACGTATGTGTCACATATACTTTACCATCATGGGATGTAATTACCATCATGGGATGGTAAATGGGAGAATTCCAAGAGACTTCCCTAGAAGGCTGGCGAGTGATGCTAAGAGAGTCGGGCCACAATCAGAGACTAGGTCGCTGGTATTGTGCAGTGACCAGGGGTTGAACCCAGGTCTCCAGGTCCTGTGCTGCAGTTTGCTTGTACAGCTACAGCATTGGTCGACGCATTTAAAGTGTATCCACAAGGCATGTAACAGTGCACCATCGATTAAAATGTGACGTTAGACTCACGACACCAGCGTAGGACGGTGCATGTGTGAATCGGGTTCGTTGGTTGCAATTCGTTCGTGCGACCCCTACAGCCATGGAGGTGCTATAGGGCCGTACAATGATTTTTCAAAAACATCTAATCGGAACCTGAAATAATTAAAATTAAACGATTTAAAAACGTGCAATAATTTACGAGGGAGGCGAATCGTTGGAAGCCTAGCAGATACAGAAGATGTGTCATTGCCGCCGATTTCATTTTAATCGTGGCCTCACGAAGCACAAATCAAATTATCCACGTGAAAACTGATTATTTACTATTAAATGGAAATTATTTACTAATTTTATATTTTGGCATAAAGGAGTGGATAAAAGCCCCCTCAAATAAGTTACGTAAAAATATAATAAACAGTAAAAAAAGAGGGTAAAAATTAAAGAGTAAATTTATTATCTTGAATCAAATAGCAACCAAGAATGACCATGATTTTAATTGAATCGCTCAAAATGGATCAATCCTTCCATGCCTCGTGTATACAACACACAGTCCACACACACACGCGCGTGTGTATATGGCATTCAGATTGTTGCTTCGAAATAACAAAAAAATGCACGCGAGAGAAACTGACGACACGGAACATATCTGGTGAGCAATGAAATGTCTCGATCATTCAGAATAAATGTTGCTCAAACCCTAAGTCAGGAAGATCGAGTTTGCACTCAAACTCCAGCAGCACAGGCGTTGATTATGCAAGTTCCCAATAAATAATCGTTCCTATGTTTTGTCCCAATAAAAACAATAGTGGAGTTATTTGTCAATCCACTGCTGGATGGTCTCTCCATGCTTGTGTTAAGTCATGGGGGGTGGTTATATTTCAGTGCAGGGGAGACCCAGGACCGGTTCTGAGACCACTCAGCACTGCTGTTAGCCGTCGTCGGGAATGGAATTCAACACTCCAGGTTTGCAGAGCAGTTTTGTACTACATGGCTAAAATTGGTCAAAATTGTTCTTCTTAAACAATTACACTGAAAAATATATTTGAACGTTAAGCGACGCATTGCATTTACATGGTAGCCTCATTTGAATGACCGTAAGGCAGAAAAAACTGTATTTTCTGTAAACTAACAAAAACACCACACAAGCACAAAATACAAAGACCCTCCCGTATAGCCTTAACAGGCTGTTTGCGCAAGTGCTGTTAGCGCGCACACACACACACGTGCAGCAGAGCCTCAATATTAGTTTATCACAATTATCCGCCTGTCAGCGTCTGCACGAATGTAATAATCAGCAGCCCACCAAATACTTCACGCCACTCAAGAACATAGCCCGACCAATCTCATGAGCGCGAGGTGGCGTGCTCACGTAGACTCAACGGGGGGGGGGGGGGGTGTGGAGACCACAAAAGGGCCCCCCCTCCTCCCTTCAAGAGATGCATTAACACCAGGGCGATAGCGAGGGCCAAGATTGTTCCAGTCTCTACTGGCCTGGTCTGAACTGGAGCATGTTTATATTACGAAGAGGAAAGCAACACCCATTGCTTTGTCTGTTAGGTAACACGCCCCGCACGCTCAAAATTCGTTGCCAAAAAACCTAAAAGAAGCCGCTGATACCATAAGGAAGGGCCCCGCCAACATATCCCCGACCTTGATTAAATTTGCCAGATGTAGCCAGAGATAATGAAGGAAAAGACAGCTGATACCGGTAAACAGTGCCCTTCCACTTGAACATATCGGAACACCCGTTGAAGAGCTGAATATCTATGAGTTTAAAATTAGAAATAAAAACACACAAAGCCTGCTAGAGTTTGGAAAAAAGAGGCATTTTCATCAATTGTTCTTGCGGCCTAACCCATAGTGCAGGCTTTTCATTCTTGCAGAAGTTTAAAAATGAGAGAAATATCTGACAGCACTCGCTGTTCAATTTAAATGAATTCTGGGATATTAAACCCACCCGTTTGACATGAATGGACCCAAAGACTTTCCCTTGAGTGGATTCATTTGCCATGGGCCATTTGTGTCAGTCGTTATGAGGCCCTTCTTATTCAACAGGAACAACCAAACGGCTTGGTGGTTCGAATTTAGTTTCGGCAAAACCAACTCTGTGTCTAGGCAATGCTTGCGGGAATGGAACGACGTATCAAGTTCGGCAATGGCTCGTACATCTTATCTTATATCTTATAATAGATTTATGTAGAGCCTTGCACCAAGGCGCTTCACAACAACGTCGTAAAATTGTACATAAGGTGATAGATAAGACGATAGTGGTTGAAATAAAGCATGGGGTTGTTATTAAAAGTGGTGGTGTAGTTATGGTGATAGGAGAACAGGTGGGAGTGGTTAAGGAGGGGTTGGGGTAGTGATAGGGGTTGAGGTAAGGGTTGGGGTAGTGATAGGGGTTGGGGTAGTGATAGTGGTAGTAATAGGGGTAGTGATAGGGGTTGGGGTAGGGGTTGAGGTAGGTCTGGTCATAGCTGGGGTCAGGGAGTAGCAGGATGGGCTCAGGAGAAGAGATGGGTTTTAAGCGAAGGAACGGAAGCAGGTTAGCGAAGATGATTGATATAAATTGTGTCCAGAATATGTTGTCTGTATTAATGTTGGTTTCGTAACAAAATAAACCTCACTTCACCAACAATGTCATCTCCAGTACAAAACTAAAATCTCATAAATAAAATCTGTGAATGGCAGCTAATGACCATGTTGCTCTCTTCTACCAACCGACCATACGGCTAAATGCACCAACATCATCAACTGAAAATTGCAGATCTCATTTCAATCCACAACAGAGGCCCAAATCTGTGTCTGTTAGTATGTACTCAGAAGATATGCTAAATTAACATTCTTAATTTTAAGAACCGTTCATCTACAGAACGTCATTTTTTTTTCTTCTATTAGGCCCCATGGTGTATCGTGCAGTCAACCTCTCTCGTCTCTCTTATCTCTCTGCCATGAAGGAGGGCCATTGCCTGAAACGTCACCTCTTAAATAACCCTTCCTCTCTAGAACACTGCCAAGGACGAACGTGTCGAGCATTTGTTAAGCGTACCGCAGCAGCAGCAGCAGCAGAGTCGCGAGCCGCCGGACCGATGTAAAGTGACCTCGCCGTTCCTATTCCTACTGCCCTTACACATCACTGCCCCCCCACTCTGCCTTACCCAGAAGCATGGGCATGCTGCGGTGGTGGCTGGGTGCTGAGGTGCCCCGATCCGTCTCGCTCTGCGGCCCCAGCATACCGCCACCTCCACCGCCTCCTCCTCCACCACCGCCGCCAATCCCAACGCCGCCGCCGCCGCCGCCGCCATACGCGGCCTGCGGGAACGGCGGGCTGCTGCTGCCGTCGCCTGTGTCGCGCGTGCCCGGCGCTGCGCTGGCACTGCCCACGCTGCCCTGGCTGTCCAGCGAGTTGCGGCTGCCCGGAGCACCGCCGCCACCGCCGCGCCCCCTCTCCGCGTCCAGGTGCAGGCACAGCTCCTTGAGGTCTGTGTTCTCCTGCGCGCGATGGGGGGGGGGGGTGCGCGGGGGGGTGCGGGGGGGGGGGCACGAGGGTGATCTTAGGGTCAGGGTATGGCGCTCTCCCGGGGAGAGGGGCCACCGCCTGGCCCCGTGTGGGAGCTGCTCGTCGAGCGGGACGGATGGCCTTAAGCGGTAGGCAGGTCCACGACCAGACGTCGACCAGGCACGTGAGCAAGGTAACGTGGCCGGGATGCATGACGCAGTGGCCAGATGTTAACGACCTCGCCTGGTATGGAAAAGGTTGTGGGTTCCATCCCAACCCTGACGCCTGCTGTATACGTGGAGTTTGTATGTTTCTCTCCCCGTGGTTGCATGGATTGTTCTCCGGGTCCTCCGGTTTTTCCCTCCACATTTAGAATCGGCATCACGCGTTTAGATTATCTGGCTGCTTTAAATTTGCACACGATAAGCCACTTCGCTGAGCTATCATTTTGTGGTCAGGTCGCTTCTGAAAAAGAGCTACATAGCTCAGTGGGCTTTATCTGGTAAAATAAAAGTTTTTGTGTAGTATGGGAACAATGGCCTGGGACGGTTTGGCATCCGGGCCAAACCTGGGAACATTCCTGGGCAGGGAGAGTCCGGTTCCAAGTGGTCATGGAAACAAACCAGACAGCGTTCTCCCCTGCTGGGGCTATTGCTTGGCACAGCCTGACTGCCTTTCTGACCGAACGATCAGCCCCCCCCCCCTCTGCTCCGCTTACACCCAGGATAGGAGACCCCAACCTATATACGTTGCCGATCCCCGAGCTAATTAAACCCGTGCTTACTCTGGGGAGGGGATTTATTACGATTGTGATTAATTAGTTTTTCTCATTCTTCAATCATCCGTTGTTTCAACTGCCGCCCCGAGACCAAAATAACAACCTCGTAATTTAAAAGTTCGATGCGCCAACCATTAAACCACAATTTGGTACACGGGGCGAAAACAAAGCAATGGGAACACGCCGTTCCTCGTGACCATTTTATCAGGCGTATTCATCAGGCTACAAGTGGACTCCAGTTTATTGTTTTGCTTTGATAGATTCCATTAGCGGAGCGCCGTGCGCGCCAATCTGGGTGTAAGCGAATTGTAAGCGAATTGTCAGTGTATGCAGTAACTTTAGCGAAATCGGTGAAAGCATTCGCGTGAAAAGCAACAGTGAACTGCAGAAAACGTCTGGCTTTTGAGAAAGATAAAAAATTCAGTTAACATACAAACAAAAAATACAATCGAGTGCTATTTTACTGCATTATCAAAAAGCATTTTGCACATTTAAGATATTAACGGCTGTTGTAATAATCATCATCAATCATGATCTATCCACTACTGGATGATCACCTCTATATACCATCGGCATATCCTCATGGCCCTGCGATGAAGCAATCATCCATCCAACTCTCGCAAAATCACAGCTATTAGATGAAGTAACAAAATACAACAGCATATTCATCAATACCCCCGGGGCCTTCATGAAAAAATATATAATAGGCAACGGTTCAGGCAATGGCACCTCTTCATAGAACAAATATTAGAGTGGACAGAGTGGGTAAGAGGAGATGGAGACTTCACACCAGCTCCTGCACCCAATTTACATCGCCGTGTGAAGTCTTATTATCCACATTTATCCACAGGATTTGACCCAAATCTGATCCAGAAGTGTATCCTATTGCCCGTACTTGTGCGCAAAAAAATAAGACGCTTAAAACGCACGGAGAAATTGCGGATATTAGGATCCGTTCACAGCGCACAGCCCCCATTGGCACCATGAGCACGGTTGGCTACTAAAGGTGCAGAAGAAGTTCAACATACACACATACTGTACACATCGGTACGGAGTAGTTTCACTTCATTGCACGCAAGGGCCACGTACAATATTCACGTCGGACTCTCCTCTCTCTCTCGTGGATTCCTTCCACCAGCAGTGGCGTGAGCGAGCAGTTGCAGGGCTGCAAGATTATCTTTTTTTTGGTTACTCAGAGATCATAAAAGAAACCGGACTGCGGTTTATGGCTACAAAAAAACGCCAAGCAAATTCCACCGATAAGGCAAGAATGAAGTAAGGGGGGAGGACTTGTTGACAGCTTGAAAGGGCTCGTTAATGTTGTCTGCTCGAGTCCCATTCCTCCTCATTGATTTCCATTCTATTTTCAAGTACCGTAATCTTTTAAACAGTTTCTCATGTGCCCGCTGAATGCTCGTATTTACAGTACACTGTAGTTATCTTTATGAACTCGGTTTTCAGGTTCAGGTGACACGACATTCCAATGCTCTAACGTGTCTCGAGCACACTTTTGCAGTGCATCATAAATCTGCATTTAGGTTTTACTATACACTGTCTCAGTGGGTGGACCTCGCGTGTGGAAGCGCAATGCAGCTAGGCCACTTGAGCTGTGCCGTGGCAAATGGCTACACATTGGCAATATCCAGTTCCAACGTAATTAAGGAACTGAATAACACCTACAATTACAGCCTTAAACGATGTATCCTGATGGCAGAGCTCGCCACAAATGAACCAAAATACATCTCTGAGCTCATCAAGGAGCATTAACCATCATCACGCAAACTCTGGTCATCCTAGCAGCAGCGACATTTGGCCAACCATCGAACAAAGACGGTGGTCACCGCATCGCGCGCTTTCAGGTGCGCTTCTGCGGCCGTCTGGAACGCTCTTCCTTCCGGTATTAAGGAAGCCACTGCAGATATGCACTTTGAAATCTAGATTGAAAACGCATTTAGTTAAAAAAAACTGCATTTTGTGTTTAGTTTGTTGTCCTTCCCCCGCACCTCCGCTTAGCACGGTTGGCTGCGTACGGTGCAAAAGAAGTTCAACTTACATACTGTACGTACAGAGTGGTGGGACAAGGGGTTAGCGTGCCGCGCTATGAACCCAATGACTGGAAATAAACTCCCCGTCCACGGTGAACATCAGCGATATCAGAATCCGGTCTTGCCACGACCCCACCTTCACCGACCCACACTGGTCAGCCTGGTGAAGTGTGGTTAAAGAAAAACGAAGACCAACATGGTGTGGAGAGGCCTTCATCCATTGGTGGATTGAGAATCGGTTGAACTCGTGTGAAAAAAAATGTATCCCAATAATACAAACAGAAAATTCCACAATTATATGTAACAAATGTCTCGTTTAATCCAGTCTCAGTATGGCAGAGAATACATTAACTAATTTGTATCGCATTACTTATTTAACATTGCCAAGGGCAAAATACAATTTTCTGTGGTGGTGCCTTTGGTCTGTGACGTTGGTCAACTGCCAGAGTTTGCTGTGGGCTACAAAATTCTCGAGTCACGGACAAAAAATTAATCACTTTTGTTTTCACAAACTATGCATGGTGGCAACACGATGTTGGAGAGGTGGAGGAATTTCCCTGGCTCGATATATTTTATGTGTTTTTCATGCCTGGGACTATACTTTCAGTTATCATGCCCGTGGGGGGGGGGGGGGTAAATGCAACTTCTCTCCAATAAAAAAACAATATTTAGAATTTAATACAGCAGGGATGAGTCCACTCACTGAGTTCAACGTTTCGTCAGTACTACGCCCACCCCACTTTGCACATGAGCGCAGAAGTGTGGTTACCACATCTATGCCTCTACAGTGAGGGAAAAAAGTATTTGATACCCTGCTGATTTTGTACGTTTGCCCACTGACAAAGAAATGATCAGTCTATGTTTTTAATGCTAGGTTTATTTGAACAGTGAGAGATGGAATAACAACAAGAAAATCCAGAAAAACGCATGTCAAAAATGTTATAAATTGATTTACATTTGAATGAGGGAAATACGCATTTGACCCCCTCTCAATCAGAAAGATTTCTGGCTCCCAGGTGTCTTTTATACAGGTAACGAGCTGAGATTAGGAGCACACTCTTAAAGGGAGTGCTCCTAATCTCAGCTTGTTACCTGTATAACATATTCCTGCGGAGGGGGCTGGTAGGAAATTTTGAAGTAATTATGAAGTAATTATGTACGGATATTTAAGCCAAACTTATTAGGGTTGTGCGCAGAAGAAAGCAAAATGAAAAGTGAGCAGAATTATAAAACGACGCCAGAAAGTGCAGTGTACAAGAGGTCGCTCCAGAAAGTGCAGTGTATAATCCCCTGCCTCCTGTGAATTAATCCCGGTTGGGCTTCCAGTCCATATAAGGGCACCACGGGGTGACCAGCCCCTCCCCACCCAGCCCCACCCCACCCAGCCCCACCCCACCCAGCCCCACCCCTCCCACCCCCCACCCAGCCCCACCCAGCCCCTCCCTACCCAGCCCCTCCCCACCCTCCCCTCCCCTCACCACTCAGCCCCTCCCCTCCCCACCCAGCCCCTCCCCACCCAGCCCCTCCCTACCCTCCCCTCTCCACCCAAGCTCCACCCCTCCGACGTGGACAGACATCCACAGACATACACAATGAATCCCCTGCCTCCTGTGAATTAATCCCGGTTGGGCTTCCAGTCCACTACGTTTCCTACCAGTAAAAGCACCTGTCCACAGAAGCAATCAATCAGATTCCAAACTCTCCACCATGGCCAAGACCGAAGAGCTCTCCAAGGATGTCAGGGACAAGATTGTAGACCTACACAAGGCTGGAATGGGCTACAAGACCATTGCCAAGCAGCTTGAAGAAGGCTACTTGTGTTGTGGCCGAAACGTCGTGAGAATTTTATTTTATTATGCTTTATTTTTATTATTTTATTATTTCCCTTCTACGTGACTTTACCGAAAGAACCAAGAAGATGAATCCCTGCAGTCTCGAAAGCTTTAAATGGAAATTTAAGGTGACAACAGTTGGTGCGATTATTCGCAAATGGAAGAAACACAAAATAACTGTCAATCTTCCTCGGCCTGGGGCTCCATGCAAGATCTCACCTCGTGGAGTTGCAATGATTATGAGAACGGTGAGCAATCAGCCCAGAACTACACGGGAGGATCTTGTCAATAATCTCAAGGCAGCTGGGACCACAGTCACCAAGAAAACAATTGGTAAC